TTTTTTTTTTTTTTTCCCCAGGTAGTTTGTATGTAAACTACATGTTGCCCTTGGCAAATGACAGGAAAAATGGATTAGGTAAAAGCTTAAGAAAATTAACAGGAAAAATGAATCAGGGTTAATCCCTTAATTGAAGAACCATGGTTAAATCACCCAATGTTTATTATTCATGAATGTTATTTTCCTTAAACCTTTGAAACAGAAACTTAAGAGGAAGCAAATAAAATGTGCTCTTAGTAGTTCATATATTTTTTAAAACATCATTTACCATGTCCTTATTTGTACAGAATTTTTGGTCCAGTTAAGTTACATCTACTTTGTTCTGCTTATGCCTTTATTGCACACCACATTTTAAGAAAGCTGAGTTTTAACCCTTTTGTTTCGTGATTGAAAATCTTAACATTTTCCTCATGTATATACATGAATACACATGCACGCCACACATACACCAAGTTGACATTGTTACCTCTTTTTTTATTTGTAGGAATTGGGACTATTTGGATTCAGTGTCAGCCACTAACAATATTGATACCATCTTTTTCTTAACTAAAAGGTTATTTTTTTTTTCCTTTTTCCTATGATAATCCGTGACGAACAAGCACACTATTAATTACAAAGTGCATCAGTGTGATACCCAGATTTGTGCAATGCGATACCCATGCTTTGGTTCTTATGGCCATCTTGGTTGCCTTTTCCAGATAATAAATATGACAACTAACAAAAATAAATCACCTATCTTTTTTATGTAGGACATCTCTCTTTGACAGGCCACTATATCTAATCATTAATGTAGCACTCCTCGGAAGGAAGGTTGGGCAATCTACTTCCGTAGTGATACTGCCTTGGCAACCCAAGGAGGGGTCGCTATGAGTTGGGGCCAACTCGATGGCACACAACAACAACAACACTGCACTATCACTCACACTTCAGTTTTACATGAATATGCAAAGAACACAATAATCAACTGAACTGTCAAACCAAAACAACTCAATTTAGCACTCATCACCGACTCTGTTGAATATTTTTGTTTTCCAGCTGAGCAATGGATAGGATATACTGTCAGCTTTTAATAGGGTCTAGATGCCTGGTCCCTACTCATTTGTCAAATTGATACCCCAGTGGGTAAAAATACCTCTTGATCTTACACATTTGATTTGAGAACAAAAGTATTTTTGTTTTCCTATAGAATAATGCTTGATAGTAGCAAAAAGAAGTTAATGTTAGAACTTTTCCACAGGCAGATTGCTTTATCTTTTATATTTAGGACTATTGTTTTTTTACCCTCCAGAGAAATAATAGCTTAATTTACTCCTTAAGTAGGAAACTTAATTTGATTAACTTAGTGCTTTGTAAAATTGTAATATTTATGAGGCTTTGAATAAAAGGATGAAGTAAACTACTGTTCTAAAACATTGAGCTATTAAAGTAGAGACTTAATCTCTTAATCTTTAATTTTAGGCTGCATTGTCTAATATGGTTAGACAACTTGGGATAGGCTAAATAAATTTTGAAAACTTGGGTCAAAAGAACAAGATGTAAACTATATCACTAATAATTTTTTCATTGATGACTTGTTAAAATGATTTGGAAATAAAAGGTTAAAATATATTATCAAAATTAATCTCACCTATTATTTTAATACGTGTATTAGAAAATTTAAAATTATATCTGTTGCCTACATTTGTGGCTCACATTGTATTTCTACTGGACAACACTGTTTTAGAGGGATAAATAAAAATAAAATACAGGACCCAAGAGTGGGTTTCAACTTCTGTTGTTTTAACAGAGCAACTAATTAAACTTAAAATTTCCCTTGAAAATCCTTTGTTCATGATTTAAACATAATTCCAAGTATTTTCAAATGTGCATTGCAGCTATTAAAAACATGCATCTGTCAAAACAATCAGACACCATTATAGCCATAAAAATCTGTTAGCTGTCAAAGTATGAATATCAAAATACGCATCCTCCTATTTTGCTTCAGGTGTGATTTAGGGATAATGCAGGCAATTTCAAGCTTTAAACCAAATATGTTATTTCCAGATGAGATAATTAACCTACAGGGCCCTAGAAGAAATACACATTGCAATTCAAGTCTGTGTTCAACTTTTCCCCTGCTACTGTGAAGAGTATCTCATGTCTATTAAGTAAATCTGTTGTCATTGCCTAAAAGCATTCCTGGCCCCCATAGTGCTTAATTGTCTTAGAAATCATTCTCTGGCAAACTCTCCACATTTTCATATCACACTTTAGGCTTTGCTTCATGAGATCCTGCTCATTTGGTGTTTTTCTCTCCTTTCCTTTTTGAGCGAAGTAAGGAAAAATCAGTCAGTAGGAGAAAGAGAAGGTAGAGTAATTCAAGATCACTCTGTCATTTGTAGTGGCTGAGGGCTTATTCTTCAGTGAAGAAACTCCCAGCTGGTACCATCAGACTGGTATAACTTCAGGGGGGCTGCCTTCTGCAGGTGGCAGTGAATTGGTACCCATCTGTGATACAGGCACTACCACAGCATCCTTGATGTCTGTGTTTAAATTACATGAGAAGTTCTTCTCCAGTTTTTTGGCAGTGTCTGGACAATTTTGCACGAAGATCACACGGTTGTAGGCCTTCAGCCTGCGCCACAATTGAACGTAGACTTTACACTGTACGTACATGAAGACGAGACCTCCTGTGAAGCCAATGGCCACCACAACCAGTTTTGTCCAAAATGGCCATTCAAGGACACCTTTCAAATCAAAAAGAGAGAATATTATCACCAAATTATCATCAATGGATTTGGCAATTTCTTCTTTGGTTCCATCAAAAAGTCCATGCCTGCCTGGTAAGTTGCATGGGTAAACGATATATTGTTAACAACTAGTAAGAATTATGAATTCAGTTTGCTTAATTACTTTCAAATAATCTAAATGTATTTTTATAATGAAATTCTCTCATCCGTAGCATAAAGACCTACTATGATTATTGGGATCTCTGGTAGAATAGTGCCTAAGGCACTTGACTGCTAACCAGAAGGCTGGCGGTTCAAACCTACCAGCCACTCCTGGGAAGGAAGATGGGGCAATCTACTTCTGCCTTGGAAACGCAAGGAGGGGTTGCTATGAGTCGGGTCCGACTCAACAGCACATAACAACAATAACATGATTATCAGACACTACAATAGACTTTTCACAAGTCGACATTTATTCCTTGTATGTAATTCTTTAAATTTTGTCTAGAAATGCTTATCTAGAATGTTTAGAATCTAAACTGCTTGTGAAGTGAGATCTCAATTCCAAAACAGCCTAATATTTGAAAATAACATTCTATATTTTTGAGCACTTGCTATGTGCCAGGTACTGGACTAAACTTGCTATGTGCCAGGTACTGGACTAAACCCAGACAACTGTATGTGGTAGATAACCTTAGGCATATTTTACAATGAAAATATATTGTGCTAGAATTGAAGGAAGTTGCGCAATGGGAGAGCTGGGATTTATAATAGGTACTCTGTAGGTCATGGTTTTAACCTTTAGGTTTTATATACTCATACACATTATATTTGCCTAATTGTAGCTCAACACCTTAAATACTGGTACTCCCTAATGGATATAACTAAAAACCTGCATTTCAAATTATTCATGTTTTTTATGTGAATGATTATGGTTGGTAAAATCTTTTTTTTTTTTTTCCTTAATGGTAAGATCTAATAAATAGCTTTAAAAGTTTGTTTTAAAAAGATTTAAATTCAAATAAATAATTCCTAAGACAGAATGCCATCCAAGATAATGTTATCTGTGTTCTAAATAAACTGAAGTAATTTATCACAACTGAGCTGGGAAATACTTAGTGGAGA